AAACGCGCACGATCTAGAAATGGCTGACCGGAGCCGCGCGAGCGGATGCCGGTCTGAATAAGAAGCGCATAAAGTAACATTTAGCGCGCGCTTAAACGAAATTGCTGTAATCCTCTTGCGGCGTGCCGGACGAAAGCACCGCTAGAGAACCCGGAGCTCAGCCACCAAAAGGGGTGTGGGCTCCGGGGGGCGCGGGAGGTTGGACGCGGTGCATTAACATACCGATTTACATAATGCGTATAATTCGAGTAATTATGAAGGGAAATATACACAATTTAATATAATGGTGGATGTTTAGGGGCCGGCGCTATATCTACGCAGATCTCCTCGACGCAACTGGACCCCAAGACGCTACCGACGCCCTCCGCAATAATGATCCTTAAGACGAACGTCGCTCCCAGGTTGTCCTCGTCTTTCGTATCGTTTTTTTAATGTCCTTCGTTTACGAATCACGAATGAGGTTGGATCGGTTGAAAAATTGTTGGACACGCGTTATCAAGGTTAAATAATTTTTTTAACCTCGAAATCCCGCTTCGACGGACTCAGGGAGTGAAGATCGTAATTATCGCAGAATTATTTATCGGCCCATTGTGCGAAACTTTAACTTGCATAAACTTGCTTAGCACGCGTTTAGGAATATATTGAAATGAATTCCGAAAGCGTACGAGCCGCCGGAACAGCGCGATAAATAATATTCGTGCGAATTCAGATCGCGGCTCGTAAATAACACGCGGTTGAATTTATCCTGCCATACCCTGTATTTAACGCGGTGTAATTTCGCGTTCGGCGAACGAGGCAACGCGTTGCAGAAATCACGACGATCTCGTTGACCGGAAACGTTGAATTAATGCGCGAGTCAGATGTTACTCCGTTCTCCAGACGCGAGCAGCGGATCGTGGATCGGCCGTAGAATCGGTAAAAGCGTTTAACGAGCGGTCTCGCGGAACGAGAACGCGGCTCGGAAGCGGTTTCAGGAAGTAAATTGCCCGTTTCTGGCCACCAGAAGGAACGGTTTATCGAAAATGCCCCCCGTTAATGACGAGGCATCTTCGCGCCTCCCTTTTCTCTACCTGCCAAGACATTGATTGATACCACCGCCGGGGCTCCGGTGTATTTTAATTTACGTTTTCGCGCCAGGAATGCGGACTTCCTTCGCGCCTCGTCTCCGGGACCTGTCACGTCCGCTGCCTCGAACAATCTTCTCGCTTTCGTCCGACACGCTTTCAATTTCCTATCTCAATCTTTTTCCTCTTCATCGACGGAACCTCGTAACACTCGTTTGTGACTCGCCCGATCGAATCTTTTCTTTCTCTGGCAGGAAAGGCAGCCTATTTCGACGCCTTTCCACTATCTATTATCCTCAGTTTGCTGTATATTAAAATAAATATGCATTTAGTCCTTATTTTCTACGCTTAAATTTGTAACGAAAGAGGAATCTTTGGTGCATTGCACTTAAACACATGTCAACCTCTCAATATGAAATTGTGCTTGAATTGTCACGCTATCGAAGAATATCTATAGTCATTTCGAGGGCCCCTCGTTAATGATCGTTCTAGGATTAAAACCGACCGGGTTTCCAGTTTAAAACGAATCGGGACGGGCGTTTCGAAAGTTTCGTCGGTTCGTTTGTACGGGGAAAGGGCAGACCCCACGCGAAGTACTAACGAGATAGTCCCTGTTTATCAGGAGCCCGTAGTCCGGCGCACGTACGCGGTCTCACTCCAATTAGCGGTACAGGCAGAGCTAATTGCTTGATATAAATCGCCGCGACTTAAAAAACCGGCCGAATAATTAGACGGCGTGCTGCAGGTGCAGCCAGTTTATTATGCGCGTCCCGATGTTTAGCGCATTACCGGCTGTATTATTCTAATGACTCGTCGCGATCCACGCGGTATAACGAGTCCGGGGTACGCGCGTTCTTTTTTCCTACGTGCACGCGAAAGCGAAACGATTACGCCGTTTCATGCTAATGGGCTGCCTATTAGAGGCCCGCATGACAATCCGTGCACCGCCGCAATCTCAATGTCAATCTCGATTTAGAAACTGCCGGGCTCCATCGTCAATTTTCTGTCGCCTGTCAACCCGACGGCGATTCAAGACGACCCAGACTCCCGGAGAAACTGTTTGGTTTAACACCGAAACTACCAAACTGGTCAAAATTACTCATAATTTCTAATAAAAATCGCTACAAATTTATTTGACTGAATTTTTGCAAATTTACCCTAGATTTCTATGAGGGATAGAATATGCATTTATATCCATTGCATTATACGTTTCTTGGAGTATAATAAATACTTCGTAATTGTTGGTAGTTCTAGTGTTAACGAAGATTTATTTGCAGAAAGTATTTTCGAAACAAACGCCATGACAAGATCAAATCGAGTCTAATTATTTGAGAAATTACAGGAAGAATCGATGTTTGCAAAATTGGATAAATGAATTCTGGTATTAACCCCTTATCGTACAATAACGTGTCTGACTCGTCACAATTCTTGATGTCGAGTTTTATTTTTACATTCACGAGGTATTCGTCAAATCTATTACCTTGTACGAACAAATTTAAGGGGTTAATAGTAGCTCGAGAACAAGGTCGAATAGAAATCGAGTCCTGTGTCCCACATGCTACGGGACATAAGTAGTATAATAAGTCACTGGAACAAGAGTTTGAATTAACAGTTACGTCGAACAAGTCTTCCAGGGATGATCGAACAGAGAAAAAGAGAGAGAAAGAGGCGAAGGAGGCGGAGGTGTGCTCGAATGGCGGTATCTCAAGATCTATCTGAATAATAACGTGTACGACAACATGTCAAATTATTCAGAACCGCGACACACTCGCAGAAACGGAGGAGCGGTACGTGCCACGGGGGCGTCGGTGCGTGCGTGCGTGTCGAAGGACGCCGACCCGGGGGTGGCAGAGGATGGCCACCGGGGGACGACATGTGTTTCGCGGTGGCGGTGGCTCTCTACAGCAGTTTTATAATTGCCGGACTGGATATCGTGCCACTCGTTGGACGAGATTCGCGAAACGCCGCGAAATCGACTCGCCTCTGGTCTGAGAAACGCTCATCGTCTTCTTCGAGACCTTCCTACAGTGTTTCGCCTCCTAGTGGGTCGCGAGGATCACGTTCAATTAATAAAAATACGAATAAGATCCGCAGTTCAGTTATAAGTCACTTGTCAATACACTAGAGGCTTAGATTCGATATTATTGACTAGTAGAACTTTGTTATATTCACTGAGTTATTCAGTACCGAACAGAGTTCGTTGGGTCTGACTAGTTCTAGGATAATTTCCTTCCCACAAAGCAAGTGCTACCCCCAACAATTTCAACATCAGGATACATGAAAAGAAGTCTACAGTGACTTATCCAGTACTGAACAGAGGAGTTCGTTAGGTCTGACTAGTTCTAGGATAATCTCCTTCCCACAAAGCAGTGTTTTCCCCAACAATTTTAACATCACGACACGTGAAAAGAATTCTACAGTGACTTATCCAATACCGAACAGAGTTCGTTAGGTCTGACTAGTTCTAGGATAGTCTCCTTCACACAAAGCAGTGCTTGCCCCAACAATTATAACATCACGACACGTGGAAAGAATTTTACAGTACTTATCCAGTACCGAACAGAGAAGTTTGTTATGTCTGACTAGTTCTAGGATAGTCTCCTTCCCACAAAGCAAGTGATTCCCCCAACAATTTTAACATCACGACACATGAAAAGAATTCTACAGTGACTTATCCAATACCTAACAGAGGAGTTCGTTGGGTCTGACTAGTTCTAGGATAGTCTCCTTCCCACAAAGCAGTGCTTCCCCCAACAATGTTAACATCACGACACGTGAAAAGAATTCTACAGTGACTTATCCAATACCGAACAGAGTTCGTTAGGTCTGACTAGTTCTAGGATAGTCTCCTTCCCACAAAGCAAGTGTTTCAACAATTTTAACATAAGAACAGATGAAAAGAATTCTACAGTGACCTATCCAATACCGAACAGAGTTCGTTAGGTCTGACTGACTAATTCTAGGATAATCTCCTTCCCACAAAGCAGTGCTTCCCCCAAGAATTTCAACATCAGGATACATGAAAAGAATTCTACAGTGACCTATCCAATACCGAACAGAGGCGTTTGTTAGGTCTGACTAGTTCTAGGATAGTCTCCTTCCCACAAAGCAAGTGCTTCCCCCAACAATTTTAACATCACGACACGTGGAAAGAATTCTACAGTAGTTCTGGATCTACCAATCCCTTCTCAGGCGTTCGTTTAAAGAAATTCTAAAATTGCCTCCAAAGTTCCCGGGCAATTAGAGAGGTAAAGTTCGAGGGTGGCGCTAAATATTTTTCCTGCCTCGTGGCTTCGTGCGGTTAAAAAAGGAATACCCGAGGCCTCGTGAGGCCCCGTCCCTGGGAGTTTCTCGATTCCGTCGCGGAGTCGGGTGACAATTAAATCACAGGTCCCGGTTTGATCATGACGGATCGAGGAACGGTCTCGTGCACGCTCAGGCCGCAGAAATTCCCTCGGTTTTCCAATGCTGGGCGAACGTTCCGCGGAACAACGGCGATCAGGCGGTTTCGTAGTTCCGCGCACGCCACCGCGCTATCATGCCAGCCGCAAAAACGACGTTAATAGCAGTTATACCGACCGTATGCGTCTACCGATACGCGATTGCCGGCGTAACTTGATTGCCGCCTGTCAACGATCGTCCGTGTATATACTCGACGATAATTTCCCGCCGCGACTGCCAACCCCGTCCGTGCTCTCCCCTTTTCCGCCCCCATAACGCTCGGTAATGACAGTCATGATAGATCTGCGCCGCGACGTTTAATCGTCGCCGCGTAGCCACGCGAAGCGCGCGTCGATTACGCGAACGTCCCTTTGGACTTTAAACAAATAAGAACTCGACCTCGTGCGTAACAACGACCATTAACGACGATGCTCTTTTTCTGTTTCACGCTCCTACCCGCCGTGGACATCGCGCGTACCCACGATGGATCATCAGTACGTAAGTAATCGAGTTCTGCATTGCACGTATGTATGTTTACCCTGCATGCTTCCGGTCATAAGTCATCCGACGCTTAACGTTTCCGCAGACTTCCGTAACTCGGCTCTGACACGACACTCTTTAACGCATTCACTGCCAAACCGTTAAATTTTTTGGGAGACCAAAACTTTCACTTTGTACGATTGTAAACTACAGAAATGAATCTTGTCAATTTCGTAACCTAACTGAAATGAGGATTAATTGTTTTAGTTCCATAATAAAAATGGCGTGGCAGTCAAAGCGTTAAATTATTTTCGTCAGCTTCTTCTGGACGATTGAAAATTTATTTAATAATATTTCGTGGGTATATCGTCAAAGGAGACTCTTTTATGACTTATGCATCGTCTTCTTCCCTAACGATTACCAAATTCGACGATCGAGGGTTGTGTTTTTATTTAAAAAATTTCGTTTCCCCGCGCACGTACCCGTGGATCGTTGGTTAACGCAAATTACCTACATTACGAGCGGCGGGGTGTAGTTTTTCGGCCCTTTCGCGGCGCTGAAGAATTTCGGTGTTTCCCGATCTCATCGCGGGATCGTCCAATTACCCGGCGATCGAGAGCGGTTTATCGCTCGTAAAACGTAAGGGGATTCGTAGGAAGTGGTGGGGGGGTGGCTTCGAGATGGATTTCAAAAGTTCGTTCCGATTTCCCGCGGAGGTGCTCGCGCGTTTTTTAACGGGATCGACCGAGGACCGGTTAGCTCGGAAGGGTTTCAATTACGCGGCAGTGTCGGCCTGTCTGATCTCGCTGCCGCTCTCATTATGTGGAATATGAGCTCGTGCTAGCTGTTCTCCGCTGGCTACCATCCCCGTCGATCGATCCTCCGACGCCTGGGATCCAGATCGATCGTTCCGTCTCTGCATCCTCCTCGAGAGAGCGTTTCGATGCGCCAAAAATTGGTTTACAGCAACGACTCTTAACCCTTTCCACTCGTTTGTCGCCATCATACATTTTATGACCCTTCTAACAATGTTTTCTTTTAGTATTTCTACACAGTTGGGGGGGGAATAGAATCATCTTACGAATCATGTCTGTTCGTTTTAAGAATCTTTACTTTACCACTGGAAATCGTGAGTCCATCCGTTCCAGAATTCTACCAAATGATGTTTCACCATATCGTGCGTATAAGTAAACATACCGTTTACGGTGTGGTAAACTGTCACGCGTGATAATATAGTACACGGAACGTCCGTGAAGACTGTTATTTTTCGCCGTTGCCGAAAGTAATTAGCGTAATACGTTGTACCGAATAATTGCGTCGCAACGCGAGGTATGCGACGCGAAGTATGCCGTTGCGTCGCCCTCGGTAGTGAGCAATGACCGAAACGCGTCGTAAAACACTTCGCCAGGGAGGGAATAACTATAATTATATCAAAGAGTGGCAAAGACTTGTCGTTTGCCCCAGTTCGGCCGATGTATTCGGACAGATAAGGTTGTAACTACAAGGCGATCGCGAAGAATAACGAGGAACGACAAAGTTGGCGAGTTAAAACGTACGACGCCAGACAGAGGTTCCCAAACATCGTCACTTTTCTGTCTCGATAACACTTTCACGGTCCCCTTCACGAGAATTCACTACTTTATCATCAAATAATCAGAACTAACTTAATTTAAATTAATATTTCTCGATGGACAAAGTTTTATATCAAAGAGTTCTCGAAACTCGTTAAATTCCAAAGCACAGAAAATCTATGTAACCAATTTTTTTTTTCTCACTTTTGACCACCCTTTGGTGATTTCCATTGCGTTTAGGACGCTGGGGGACCCGAGGTGCGCCAGTTTGGGAACCTCTGACACAACACATTACTCCAAATGGAGATGACGGGTTGAAGAATGGCGTTAAAAAAGTCGATGGCTCCATTTGTTCGTAGGTTACGGGAAGGGATGATTACACGTTCGACGGGGAACTCGACGACGTTTAATTTGACGCGTTCTCGGTAGCGTATCTTTCGTTTCGTGTTATATCGGGAGAGAGAGAGGGCCGGGCTTCGATCAAGTTTCTACGCGCGGCCACTGCTACTAATAACGGAGCAAACGACCGGACTTGTTCCACGGTACTTAACTTCGCGGGACATTTCCTGGTAGCCGGGTACACTGAAGTTCGTGTATCGTCGCGCGTAACCTGTCATTATCAGGGATATTGCTTGTATAGCGACACGCACGCATTTGGAAACGTCTCGTCTGTATGTGATTTATTAATTCGAACGTCGGTTCGCACTCTGGTTACGCGGCGGGGCCGATCGACGTTCGCGGACGCTTATTCGGTGATTACCCTTCGACTCATCGGCCGGGTTGTTAACACGCGTTTTACTCGAGCGGCGCTCGTAAAAATTTCCACCGCCGCCACCTCCTCTGTCGCTAATTAATTCCGATACGCCGATGAGAACGGAGAACCATTCGACTGGAGACTCGAATCCGATGGATTCGAGTCGAATCGCTGTGAGGAGACGTAGGAGCCTGGAAAACTGGAAAATGTAATATTTAGAGCGTGCAAGTATTGAGGATATCAAAATATTTCGCTACCAGAACACACGACAGACCCTTCCATTCCTATACACACGCACGGAAACCTTGTATATGAGTTCTGGAGCTTCGTGTAGCTCCGGAGAATCGAGAACGAAGTAGTTGATTCTAATGGTCTTCTATAATAGTGTATTTCATTGAAATTTATTCAGGAAGTAGAGATCATGGATACCCAGAAAAAAGTGTTAAACAACATTTCCATACAGCGACAAACAAATTCATTAAAAATTAAAAACAGAGGCAGGTGCCTAAATTTTTTGGCGAAAAAGAAAAATTTCACATCGTTCTAAAAAAATTATTTTTAGCTGCGGGGGTCAATTACGATCATTTTTTGTCATTACACATACCCCCAAAATCCTACGCACTTTTGAGAAAAAAATTCCTTAACGAAAATACAATGTCTGACCAGAACATTTCAGGGGATCATTCCACTGAAACTGCATGCGTATGTTTAAAAAATCATAACTCCCGAACTGATTAGACGATTTTGATGTTTCAAGAGGCAAACAACGCGTAATTTGATGAAGTATATGTAGAAATTCTAACAATCCAGTAAAAGTTGTTTCTTGACTCCATGAGGACATCGAGAGAAAAGTCGACCAATTTCTTGGGACTCGGTTTCTCGTTGGCATGGACAGCCGTTCCCAATTAGCCAACCGATAACAAACGGTGTAGGACGGTATCGAAACAAATAAAATCGCTCGATTATTCATCGGGTACATGGTTGGGTGGCGAGGGGCGGGGGCGGGTAACGCGGATGATCGCGTACCGACAAAAACGATCGAAACCGCAGAATATCCTAGCCAACCGAATCGACTGGAACAGCGTCGGGGCGCATTAAATACCGAGCCATTTACCGCGGGACCCGTTTCCCGTATCGCCGCTAAACGCCCGTTGCTTAACACGAGGAAAGCGCATCGAACTCGCTTACGAACGTACGTGTCCGCGCTCCGCGCGTGCAAGAGAGAGAAAGAGAGAGGCGATTCGGGCGGAGAGCGAGGAACCGTGAACAATTATGGCCGATATGGTGGCTGGGTAGTCGGGTGGGTGTGCAGGCAGGGCAGGTACACAGCGTGGAAGGTTGGAGGACTGGCATGGGGCACCGTGGACCGTGGACTCTGCGGCCTGTGGTGCTGGCCGAGTACGTCGGGGCTTGGGGTTAATACGGTGGCCGGTGATGCACGACCGACGCAACGCTGCGGCCAGGGCGGCTCACCGCACGCCAGCTGCCCGACGCCGCTCGAGCTGCCCGCAAAAATCTGTAGCTGACCCTTCTGTGTGCCCGTGCTGTTGCACGCAAACCCCTAACCAACGCCCCCGACCCGTCCTCCGCGACCCTTCTTCTCCGACGTTCTTCCGCACCCATCGATATCCCCGCTTCCTAGAGACGTCTTTGGAAATTGGTTCAAACCGTGCAACTCGCGCCTCTGCCCAAGAGGGACTCTGGGGGCTGCTATTACGCCCGGAAATATACGGTGCATCGTTGAACCGGATGAAAGAGTCTCTTGCGAGATATAGTAATTTACTTAGGTATTTGCGTTGGAATTCTTTTAACCAGTTAACTGTGGCACGCTCGTTTGAGAGCGCGCACCGTTTTGTGTCGCCAGAATCGAGCCATGACGAGTATACTCGTCAATCACAGAGTAAGTTGCGCTGGTAAGATATTGGATCAAAAAGATGGGTTTATTTTATAAAATTGACAATTTTATTAGTAATATTTACTTATTTGTTTAACATACACATATATTACATACATATTAAACTAAACACGCAATAAAAACCCACTCGATAGCTAGATATCTTCGGGCCAGTAGGTATCAATAGGCTCAGCGCCTGGTCGGTGTCACGCATTTGTCCCATGACTGACCATACCTGAAGGAACCCTATTATAAATCAACTTTCTGACTTTTGCCTTTGCCCCTTTTAGGCTAACATCTAAAAAACGTTATCATTGCACATAAATAAATTCGTTATGCGAACTGGTAAGCTGTTTCAGCCGGTGCATACGGGGATGCATAAGTTCATCTCAAATTATTTATATTTTTTATTTGCTTGTTTTATTCCGCCATGGCCTCAAAATATTCTAAACATCTTGAAATTTAAGAATATGTTTTGTTTTTCTCAAAAATTACAATTTAAATAGTCAATGGTAACTACTTTATAGGCATGACGAGTATACTCGTCAATACACAAAATCGTGCCACTTCTCCATGACGAGTATACTCGTCAATCACAGTTAACTGGTTAATGATTCTTAAGATGATAGAGTTGGGAGGGATCGAAATATGTTCAATTTACTGCGTATACTCGACCAACAAATTGATATTGGTCGAGCGCTTGCGAGAGAGTTAAGAGCGCAGCCCTCTGCCGGCGCGCGCCGAAAGTTGATCTAACCTCGACGAAGTCTCGGTGCATTTTTATCGTTGCAACAACGTC